AGGGAACTGGACCTGCCTGGACTGAGTCTATCAGGTCGATCTCAGTCCTCGGGGGTGGCCTTGATCTAGAGGTGGTGGGAAAGGGGGGTGGGCTGGGGGGAAGGGGAGGTGGGCAGGAAGGGGGAGAACAAGGAAATCTGTGGCTGTTATGTAGAACTGAATAGTATTGTAAAATAAAATTTTAAAAAATCCAGTTATTTTATGAATTTTGCAATCAAGCCCTATCCATCTCTTGTTGCACATGTGTCCCTTACCAAGTGTCTTCTCATGAAACAAAGGAAAAATGTGCATGTTTACACCCGGCAATCTGTGGAGGCTCTAGAGACCGTGCTTAGGTCTTCACTCACGAGGACAGAGCCATCTCCCACGCCCCCACAATGCCATATGCATTCTATAGGTTTAAGAAAATAGGGATACACACTAGTCAGTGCGGTATCTGTTTACATTCCTAGTTCCCTTCTACTTTTCCCCTCCTTTGCGTTTTATTTGCTAAGGAAACCAGATGGCTTGCCCTGCAGGGTTCCCTACAGTGTGGCCTGCTGACTCACACCCCCAATGTCGCTCTCCCCTGCCCCACCCCCGCCCCAACACTTCCTTAAGTTGCCAGAACTGGGAAGGCTTGCAGATCTGGTTTGGTGAATTCTCCACGGGTGTACTGTTCTATTGGAGCTCCAATTGCCGTTAATATCTTTTAATTTTTCACATAGGTATAAATGAACAATTTAAATAGATTTGATACATTTAGGTTCATTGTTATAGACCAGGCCGGCCTCACACTCACAGAGACCCGCCTGCCTGTCTCTGAAGTGCTGGGATTAAAGGCTTGTGCCACCACTCCTGACATTATAGCAACATGTGGCCGTTGCTTTTGTTGCCATGGGAATCGCTCAACCCTGGTTAGTTCCTGGTCCTTCCCTTCCATCTCCTTACCATCTAGCATGACAAGATGTCTCAGGCCTGGCTTGTTCACTTCTTGCTAGACTTGGGCCAGTCCATTTGGGGGAATATTGTTTCTATTTTTAGTGAAAATTGATATTTTAATGCCAGGGTGATTTCTTAGTGTCTTTTCCCGTGGCTGTGATAAAATACTCAGAAAAAAATAATAGCTAAAAGGAGAGAAGATTTACTTGGCTCACAGTCCCAGATAATGGTGCATTGTGGTGGGAAGCCCTGGTGCTTGGGCCTTGAGAGTTGTTACATCACACCCGGAGTCAAGGAGCAGAGATAGACAAATCCATGCCTTCCAGTGCTCAGCTCCCTTTCCCTGTTTTTGTTTGTTTGTTTTGTTGTTTTTTGTTTTTTTCAGTCCAGGACCCCAAGCCCCAGGAATGGTCCTGCCCACAATTAAATTTATGTAATTAAGATGATCCCCCACAATGAGGCT